TATATCCGCATAGAGCATCTAACATTGACCTTACAACTACAATGTCATAGGACGGCTTTTCCGCCTAATACACATATCTATGTTCAAATCTTGACCTCCCAATTAATTAACAACATAAAATTATGGTTGTCATGCATTAATTAATTATCACTCATAATTAACTAGTATGAGTCTTGTACAGTACACGGGTAAAAAATATTTATTAATATTTATAAATTAAAAATTCTTATTAAATATATTTATAAATTAAACATATAGAATTAATATTTAATACAATTTACCCATATTAATATATTAAAAATGTTATATAAAGTTTAAATTGTACAAAATTATATAAAAATATATATTTAAAATTAGTACACAACCCGTGCGGTGCACATAACTGATAATAAATTACGTTATGTTCTTTTGATAAGAAGTATCATTTCAAAAATTTTATTCAGAAATTCGATTTGACTATAATGCGATTCCATAAATAGTTATTTTGGTAAAGTTTTATCATATATTTAACAATGTACGTGAATAAAAAGTATAAATATAAAATTTTTGTTGTTGTATTATTTCAAATAATTTATTATTGTATAAACTATTCAAATCAAAAAAATTAAGTAGTTGAGTAATTTATTAAACTATAAAGAGTTGACTATTTCGTTTACGTCCAAGTTAATATTGACCCGTATGTTATTGAGTAATTTATTAAACTATAAATCATTGACTATTTCGTTTACGTCCAAGTTAATATTGACTCGTAAGTTATGAATAATTATTTTTTTTATTGTAAATTTAAATAATTTTTATTTTTATTTTTTCAATGTATTATATACCAAATTTAAATCATGCAACTAAAAAAGGTAATAGCTGCAAGTTTTGTCAATATATTATATTCTAAATTTAACTCATGCAACTAATTAAGGTAATAGCCGCAATATTTGACCAAAATAATTCTGTACATTAATTACATTAATTAAGGTAATACCCTTTTTTAAAATGTTTGGAATTAAATTTTTTACAACAAAATTTCAAATATATTTGGCCGGAATTATTGAAAAAAATCAAAATAATTTATTATATTTAGTAATATATTTAGGAGGGAATTTAGATGATTTTTTAGTTACTATTTTTGAATTTTTTAGGTTGCCTCTTTATATATTAACTAGTACAGAGCCCGTGCGATGCACGGGATACACAATTTTAAGGCTATTTATCTAGGCTTATAATTATATACATGAATAAAGAAAAATGTACGGGATATATATAGTACGTGACCCGTGCGAAGCACGAGATATGTTTATTTGGAGAATATTATATTATAAGATTTAATATTCAATAAAAGTTTATAATACGCAAGAAAATTGTACAATGTTCAATAAAAGTTTTATAATATTCAAGTGGAGTCTTAAAGTCTCTTGTACATTAAGACTACTGACAAAATGATATTTTAATCAATGAGTTTCCTTTCCTTGTAGCCAAATTGTGAATGTGATTTGAGGAGTACAAAAAATCGATATATAGCTGACTTCCTTTTTTCATTGTAGTTTTTTTTCTTTTTTTTTATAATGAATTTAAAGATATTCTAAAATATAGCAATAATTAATTCTTTTATTACAATTAGGAATTTTACTAAATATAAACTCTCAATCTATGGTGTTAATCAACGTTTAAGTCTAAAAATTAGAAATTTTTACCCCTTTTAATCAACGTTTAAGTCTAAACAGTAGAGTTATTATAAGTTTTTTTTCTACATCTTTTAAAACATTAAATATGAGCATGTTAGGGCTAGCTTGTAAAATAATTAATATATTATCTCACTAAAACATTTATACTAATAAAAATTTAATTTTAGCATATAAATTTATCTCTTGATATAAGAGAAAATAACAGTTTTACTTATTGTTGTTCACTATATAATATTTAATTATTATTTTATTATATAATAAAAAAGAAATATTGTTAAATAGTGTAGTAGAATTGTTATAAAATTATATGATTTTTTTTACAATATGGATTTAATATTTTTTTATGATTTGATAATATAAACAAATCTATACTTAACTTTGACAAATAAAACAAATAAATACTTTAGTAAGAATTTAATGTATATACTAAATAGGAATATATGTGGTATAATCAAATACCAAATATAATCAAATAAGTCAAAGTGTACATTTTTATTTGGTATTTGATTTTTTTATTATTAAAATCTTTTTATTATACTTACTTTTTTAAAATAAAACAAATAAATAAATCAATTAAATAAATAAAATATTACAATACCAAAATAGCAATGACATTTAATGCAGTTGACTTTTCTGGATAGTAAATATAGTAAATAGAATCTCCTTTTATATAAGTATAGATTGTATAATACGGAAATAATAATGCAATAAATGTTATTGACTTTTCTTTATACTAAATCTGGTAAATGGTATACTTTTAATATAAGTATAGATAAATTATGGGCATAGTAAGATGATTGGAACCTGTTTTTCATAATTAATTACATTAGGTTCGTGCTACGAAAATAAAATAATTAATTGATATATATTATAAGTATATACCATTGCACATAGATCCTGCTGTTTCATATCCCACATCACGTTTTTAATTAAAATAAAATAATTCGTTCATTTACAATCATTTATATTTATATATCATTATTAACAAGTTATGAATTAGCGTAGCATTTTTCATATGGCTTGGTTTGTTTGTCTAGTAATTATAGTATTGTTCATGTTTTTGAGATAAATAATAGAAATACCTAGTGTTTCTGAATAAATGTGAAAACACGTTAAACCAATGTTTTTAATGCAGGCTGGTAAATTATTCGGGCCGACCTTTGAGTAACTGGTTCAATTGTTGAAGAAGGCAATTGCTTTAGAAAAAGTTAAAATTATTACATGCTATTTTTATTATATATATAATAAAAATAAGATATATATATATAAATATTATACCGAAAAATCTTAATAATATTATATCCCGTCATAAACAAGTCAATGTCCGAATATTGACGTATGATCTGGTTGGTTGCTAATCAGTCCAATGAACCAACCTAGACGGGTTTTGGGTTGACCCACCAAATTGAGTCGGGTCAAGAAACACTGCTTTAAATGATATTATTATTTAGGTCATGTTTGATAGACAAATAAGTTTACTTATAGTTTATTTGGTTAGCTTATTAACTTCTTGTATTTCAATAAGCTTCGTTTGATAAGACGATTTTTTTTAAAAAACTCGAGCTTATCTCATAAGCTTTTTTAGGTAGCTTTTCAAATAAGCTCGTTGAAATTTTAATTTCAGCTTGTTTATCAGCTAATTTTACCAAACACTTTTATCATATAATCTAACTTTTCAGCTATAAATCATAAGCTATAAAATTACTGATAAACTATAAGTTAGTTTATCAACTAGTTTTACCAAACATAGCCTTAGGCATGACCAAATCTTGGGTCGGACTCGGACCCGACAGGTCTTCGAGATTGAAAACAGCGACCTAGGACAGGCCCTTACCTAAGTACGGGCTGAGCCCGACCCAAATACCAGACCCGTTCTAAAGAAGAACTTGAAAACCGTCATTTTTTCTTGGGCCGGCCCAACAGTTCATAAATTCAAAATGACCGATCTTGAATAAGCCAGATTAAAATCAGGGCTGGGCCCGAACCCGTTGACCACATGTATGACTGGCCCGGGTTTGTGCTGGGTCCGCGGGCCGTGGCCATCTCTACTACTATTTCGAAAGACTCATTTTAATTATGCTATGGAAATTCAACTTAGGACCCCACAAACTAATTTCACTATATGTTCCCAACTATATTTTTATAAAAGACAACCTAGCTCACTTGATGCTAGTGCTTTATTTTTATTTTTATTTTTCGTGTTGATTATGTTTGTTATATTAGTTTGATTATTTCTACAAAATTGAATGTGGGTACTTTAATTTAAATGAAGAGTGGAATAATTTTGTAGCTCATTATGCAAACCAGAAAATTAAATTACAATCTCAATTAATTAAAGTAATTAAAAACAGTACCCTTTAGGTCCAGGCTGTCTGTTTGGACCTATATCATGGAGCAGAAACAAAATGATTAGCACATACTAGTCTATATATCAACTAATACAATCATTGATAAATGATAATGGATATAGGAGTTTAAAATTATGATTTCAACTAATTAACCAAGTACTATATAGTTTATCAACAGCTATATGCCTAATCCCAATTATTATGACGACCCAATAATACAAGGGGTCATTTTGCCAGTAACACTGCGTCATTACTAATCTTGATTGGCATTTATGATTAATCTTGATAACCATTTAATTCACTTGAGGACCACATCTTAATTTGTGGGTACTTTTCCTTGACAGACATGGTTAAACTCTGGAAGGGCTTTATACTTCATACAAAAATTATGACATAAGAAAATTTGTTCTTTACTTCGTGGCCCATGATGATAAATTAGTCATATTATGATCTGTCTCGGAGGGACGTTACACTATTTGGATCACAAATTTTGTTGAATTAATATGGTAATAAGTAATACTTTATTTCAAACCATATAAACAAACTTTCAAAATTATAGTAGGCTAAATTTTGTGACATTACAAGGTGGTGGATATTAAGATTTATCTTACTATGGCTTTGCTCATGATAAAACTTTAGTTAACTCATCTTTTATTTTTATTGTTTTACATCCCTCATAAAATGGCAACACAACATTACAATTGGAGTAACATGCAAGGAACAATTTGTATATATATCCTTATTTATAGTTGGATCAAGACATTCATATTCACATATATATGTGTTGTGTGATGGATAATTTGTGGCTTTAGAAGTTATAGTACTATAAACTATAAAGAATTATCTTATTATGACCAAGAAATTTTGCTTGATGAAACTTTAGTTAACTCATATTTTTAAGTCCCTTGTAAAATTGCAATTCTACATCAAATTTTAGAGGTTTCACATGCAAGGGAAAATTCGTATTTTCACCCATATGAGTGTGTAAGTGAGTAAGATCCAACTATTAAAATTCACCCATATGAGTGTGTGTGAGTGAGATCCAACAATAAAAAAACTCAATAAGAGCAATGCCCCCACTTAGTGCTGTTGAATTGAACGAGCTTAGCTCGGCTCGACTCGAGTTTCGCTCGTTAAGGCTCGAGTTCGGCTCGACTCGTTTGATAAACGAGCTAAGCTTAAACTCATTTAAAGCTCATTTGGTCAACGAGTTGAGCTCGGCTCGACTCGAAAAAAGAACTTTATTTAATAAATTTCTTTACTTCGGCTCGTTAAAGTTTGAGATCGGCTCGAACTCGACTCGTTATTAGTAATACATGAGTCGAGCTCAAATTCGATTTTAAGCTCGTTTATTTAACGAGTCGAGCTCGGTTCAGCTCGTTTATAGGCTTACGTCCACCTTCATTAGACTTCCTCCTCGCCTTAAGGGCGATTCCATCTCTCAGAGGATGAAAAACGACGACTAACCTCTTAAACATGGGGATCAAAAGCACGAACCAAAAAAATGTTCCACACGCAAGATGTACACAAAATGGCTTTTATGTTTAAGGTTATGTTTAGTAAAACTATCTAAAAAGTTAGCTGATAGGAGTTTATAGCTATACTTTGTGAGTGATGGCTTAAAAATTAGCTAATATAATTAAAGTTTTTGATAAAAGTAGCTGATAAACCAGTTGGAATAAAAATTTCAACGAGTTTATTTGAAAAACTACCCAAAAAAATTTATGAGATAAGTTTTAACTTTTTAAAAATAATTTTATTAAACTAAATTTATTTAAATATAAAAAGCTTATGAACTATATAGATAAGTTATAAACTTGTTTACCGCGGTTTCCAAACAGTGAGTACTCCACCTACTAAAAGTAGGGAAAAGAGGGCCCGATGAGTAGGCCCAAACTTAAAATAGTCTTGGCAAGTGGCCCATTTAAGGCAATTGCAAGCCCGGGACCACCTTACCAGAAACAAAGCCTTTATTTCATTCGCATCTCTCTTTATAAACATCTCCTTTTCATTTGAGTTAACATTGTTAAATGCTCTATAATAATCACACTGCAAATGACATGCAGTCCCTTTCTTTCTATATAAATTAAACCTATTCCCCATCATTCATCAATCAATTGATCTGAGTTTTCCTGAATAAT